AGACTGGAGAAAAATAAATAAACAATAAGTAAGTTAATCAGTAATTTTATGTTAAGTTAGTAAACAGTTAAGAAATAAGTCGTAGTCAACTGGTAACAGGTCAATATAATAAATAAAATAAAACTGGTATAGTAATAAGCACATTTAGGGGGTGAAGGTAAGGAGGATCGAAAATATAAGGGCAGAGGCCTTGGTGCGGACGATCTTCTGTGTCGCTGTTTGATTTCAGGTGCTGAGGAGGCCAAGCATTCGCAGCAGACGGCGGGACGCCCGCGACAGAAAATAAATAGTTAAAATAAACGGATAGATTAGTATGTACTCGGCTTCTGACGGCAGGTTTTTCCCCTTTCAGGGTTTTTTTCCTGAGCCTTACCTTATGGTCTCTTTTCCGCGGCTTTGATGCGATGTAGAGGCCATTTGGGGTGAATACCAGAATTCGAAGGATTAGAACGCGAAAGTATGTAGGTATTGTAATGGCTTAAAGGCCTTCGGCCTAGCCACATAGGATCAAGTAAGCTAATTTGTTGGTAATAATTACCTATTAAATAAATAAATTTATTCTATGTAAATCAGTATGAACTATTCTTATAAACAAGTATGTGCTATGTCCTACGTTAGTTTTTAAACTTGTGGTTCCTTCACAAAAATAAATCTGAAAATTTACCAAAATATTCTCAAATTTTTATTTTCCAAAAATTTGCATTTGATCTCCATTTCACATGTGGGTAATGGAAGACTCGTTGTTGGAAATGGAAATCACTAAATAAATATAAATTAAAATGAAAACATTAGTACTCCAAACAGTATTTATTTTTTTACAATAGTTGTAGACGTGTAATATAATATGACTCCCAAGCTTGTCCAAGATCAGCAGCACAGTTTGTCCAGCAAGGCTTTTAATGTGTTTGAGCCATTCTTGGTACATGTGCAAATAACAACAGGGGGCATTTGAACTCGTGCAGATCAATGAATGATTGTTTGGATTAATGGCATTTACGCTGCGATAATGAGAAATATAGTCCACCATCACCCCACAAACACATCTTAACTTCACATAAACTTCTACAGAATGTTTAAAATTACTCGCTGTTGATGTCAATTATTTGCAAAAGTACTTCCTTTCCAACAAATTTTAATTATGTCAGAAATCTCCAAGTTTATGTAAAACTTCATTTTCTGAGTGCACTTTCTAGCATCACTCAGTCACTTTCCTGGTAAGAACTCGATAATCATCTATTGTAAGTTTTCTTTGGCTGCGGCGATCAACTGGCTATAGTTATCATGACCAATGGTAGATATAAGCATAGCCTTTCAATGTGGTTTGTTTAAAATATTTTAGTTTTACCGATGACTCCAATTTTTCCCTCTTCCCCTATATTTTAGAAACTAATTAAAGTGGTGCAGTAGACTCATGTGCATGCTTGGTTTAGAAGAAGCACCAAATTATTTAAAGAAATTAATTTAATTATTGTGTAAAGTGAAATAGCGTGCCAATTGTACCATAAATTCCATAAATAATTATTTTCCTTAATAATCGTTTGAACACTATTTTGAGGCTTCATACAAAATTACAATATTTGTACAGGATTTTAGCAAAAATGGTAAGAGCTAGGAGATGGGATTTGGAAGTTCAAAATCAATGTTATATTGGTAATGGGGTTTAATGTCATTTTTTGAAACTATTGCGAAATCTACATACTATTAAATTCTGGAATTTATATTAAAGACGTATTTCTCGTCAACAGCAAAGCAAATTTTATCACAATCTGGACACTATATGCGTTTGTTGCATATTCAAATTCACGTTTATAAAAGCTTTTGAAACAATATTTTTCTCAAAAAGAATGTTGGGGCACCATTCTTTAGGGCATTTTGATGAACTATAAAATTTTAAGTTTATTCAAGAAATAATCGTAAATACTAGGAGGTTGAAGTTATGTAATGAAAAACCAGTTTACCTTAGAACATAATGTACTATATTTAACTTCTTTTACTAAATAGGGTGGAAGCAATTCAACATTTAAATCTGACTAAAAAACCTTAAGAACATTCATATGTAAAATAAAGTTCATTTTAAAAGGACTTATTATTACGAGATGCTCTGAAAATAAGTTAAATTTCATAAATATAATAAAAACAGATAAAATAATATTGTACCTCAGAGGTACGAAAAGTCTTATAATTGTTCTGAACAAACACATTGCATGTTTTATAGGATCGTTGCAGGTCTGTAAAAGATATTCCCCAAAATTTTGCTTCAAGTTTATACTGCGTAATGTACTCATTTCCTGGATAAATTATTTTACCTATACATGAAAACTTTCATAATAGCCAGCATCATCTCGCATTAATTGGCACAACACACGCGAACGAATGAAAAATGGAGAGCAGCACTTCGCCGCAATTTACACTTCTTCCGGAAAGTGCTCGTTTCCTATCGTCCTCCCCAACCGCCACCGCAGACGCCGCCAGCGCCCTTCCCTTCAATTTCGCGCCTTCCGCCACCGTTGCCAATGCTACCTACAGAAAGATTACTAGAAGAAGGGAGCACTTAGGCATCTACATTTTGACCTCTGCTGGCCAAATAACTGCAGCTTATCTCTATGCACTCATTTTTCCGAAGCGTTCGCTTACTTCTATCTCCGTTGTGTAAGACTATGTCACTATCTCTTGCAATTGCTTCATTCTACATGGCCTTCACTTATCAATATGATTTATGTAAAATATTTTCAAACCCCTGAAAAACATTTTCATGTCGAACAAGGAAAATATATATTTTAAAAAATGGCCATCTTTTGTTTCCCGGCCTGTCAAACTGGTCTTTCGTTATAGTAACTCTTCTATAACTCTCCGCCTGCTCCGCCCCGCACTCCCCGACACAATTGTAGCGCCTGCCCTCCACTCCCCGTTCGTCTTCACAATCGTCACTTATTGCCTCCTTCCTCTCTATATATTCTTCACTCCTTTGTGTTTCTAGCATTCTCGGGACGACGCTGCTTTGCACCCGTCTGTCGCGAGCTTCTTTGAATTCCGAGGCTCTATTTTCCTTTCACATTTATATTATTTCTTTATTTCCTTATTTCCTTTCAACAACGTTTTCTTTGCGTGCTTCGATTGATTCCCTTACCTACACTTGCAACTCCACCATCTCTAAGCTCTTCATCATACCCACCTATCGCGCCTACCTTGCCTCGCACTGCCCCTCACGATCGGCACGCATACCACCGCCCTTTATTCCCAACTTGCCTTCAAAGCCGTCACGTCTTGCACCTCGCAACCACATTCCTTCCCTCCTCAGTGTTTCTTGTAACTTTTGTCGTTTTCTCTGTGCGTTCGTCTCCTTCCATCGCCCACTAATTCTCTTCTACGTCATTTTCTCTCTTCGACTGTGTCTTCCCCCTCTGCCTCCGCACAGCACCTCCCACGGCGTCACGGACAAATCCGCCTACACCCCCCGCTTGTTCCGTCCGCGGGTGAGTAGGCGGCCGACGAGCACCGGCGGCGGACGAAAAGTAGGGCGCCACCTTGGAGAGGGCAGACGCTTGCAGTCGTCGCAGCCGCCGCCATGAGAAGCTCGCTGTTGGTGAGTACCTTCTCAAGAGGATTACGGGGAAAGCATTGAAAGACGCCCGCCCGTTCCCTACGTTTTTGCAAAGTGCATACGTTGCTAAATATATATCACATATGTCAGTGGGAATAGTACGTTCACAGAAAGATAGAAAAGGGTTTAGGAATACAAAATGCATTGAAGTATTTTTTTCTAGCTGCAAATACAATTACGCAAATCAAGTACGAACGAAAAAACACTCATATAATCATGTAAATGTCCACTAGAGAAAGAAAACGTATTAGATAGACAACGGAGGTTTAAAATGTTTTGAACTTTTCAAGACGGTATTATAAGAACAATTTTCTTCATGAAGTAGGGAACATTTTCTATCACTATTTACAAATTTTACTAAAAGAGATACAGTAACACATTACGCTGCTACTACCTGTAACTTGTTTCAATTTCCGTGTCGTTCGTAGATCGAGTGTCTGGCCGTGGCCGCCGTGCTGGCGGGCGAGCAGACGGCGCAGAAGGCGGCAGCGGCCTCCGTCTCCGCTCCGCAGCCTTTCAAGCGAAGTATCTCCTCGCTGGGCTACGGCGGCGGCGGCATCGGAGGCCTTGTAGGAGGCCTTGGCGGCGACCACGGCCTTGGTGATGGTGGTGGCGGCGGCAGCGGTAGTGCGCAGGTGCTGGTGAAGCGACCTGAATTTTCAATAAATCCACGACAAGCTTTCAAAAACTAGTTACAAAAACGTTCGATAATCTCCTATATTTCAGTAGTAAACATCCAATTTGCGGCTCTCACATCCAACCTATCTTGTCAATTAGGTCTCTAATATAAGCGAATTTCACGGAGGCGTGACGTTTTACACTGACTTTAAAAATGTGAAGCATTTGTTTAACATAATCAGTTATAACGTTATAACGTTATTAAATATCTATTGTTATCAGTTATAACTTTTAAAAAAGGGGTTTTAGGGCCTTAAAAAATAAACCTTTGAGGCAAATGCGTCAAAGAAACATTTCTCATATCGTAATCTACAGAATGAGCTTTTCTTTTAACTTTTTGCAGGTTCGGTGTGTATCGATTACATGGACGAATACAGAACATATTCTTCCATGAACTAGTTGAGCTGTTGGGGCAGATGGTCACAGTTGTGATGCCACGCATAGAAGTCTCTGATTCCTCCATCTTATACTATTTACGCTTACTGTATGCACCGTGATTTGCGCAGAGTGCAGAGGTTTATTTGCGTAAATATTAATTCAAGATTCTCTCTCGTAGCAACAACTAGAACTAGTACTATTAATAGTTGTGTGATGGAGTCGAAGATTTTTCTTACGCGATCATGTGGCCGCCGTGGCCAAGTAATTCAATCTTTCGGCGAAAGAAAAACCATCATCTTCCGAAAAAACACTACACTAACGGGTGCCATGTTGTCAAATCCAGATTCATCAATCACAACATCAGTCAAAGCATTTCTTCCAACGGCAGATTCTGGCGACCAATCGCACCCGAACTTTCCCTCGTTCTCTTTCAGCTTCCACCTCTGGCCTTTGCTTGGAGCCGTTGCCGGTGACCACGGTGCGCGTAGTACCCGTGAAGGTGCCGCGAGCGTTTCGCGGTTGTGTGTACCCGCCTATGTTGCCCCGGCCCGTGCCAGGGCCGCAGTCGCGCGCGCTGCCCGTGCGTGAGCGCGTGCCCGTGCCCGTGGGCGTGACCACGCCCTACCCCATGGTGGTGCAGCGGCCCGTGCCCGTCGTCGTGCCCGTCCCGCGGCCCATTGTTGTAAGTTCTATCTCTTCAACTACTGGATGAGTCCAAGTCACGAAGGTAACAATGTGGTTTAATGAATGACGCAGGCAAATAAAAGTAGTTGTCAGACCCAAAGGTTTGACACAATTGTTTGTCTGGGTATGTCGACGCGCTGAATGCGAATCAGAAGACGAATCGAATTGCGTTACCACCTGACAGATTTTTATCGTAAAAAAATAGATGATTGTTGCTGAATTCTGGCTTCGAATTCATACTGTGCGTCGACATACATACAGAAACGTTGGTCTTGTCATTGGGACTGACAATTTTTTTTTGTGTGCATGTTGGTATACGCTTGTAGATAATGGCAAGTAATAAATTCCGCACAAATAACGAAAATTTATCATATCTTATTTGCAACATAGACCGCAAAAGCGCAATTACTGTTCTAGTCGAATGACGTATTATGAGTTGATAGGTTTGTTCAGTTGACTTAGACTAGCTGACTGTACAAAGTTCAGCTTATGCTCGGAATTTTATTATTTTATTTAAACATGTAAATAGTAAAGGTGTGAGGACACGATTTCCTGCGGGAGTGGTATCATTTCAATTTTTCGTTACAAAACTCAACTGACTAATGTTTTGAAGCCTAAAAGAAATGATTAAATTAATTTGGTAATTTTGAACTATATTGATTCGCATTCTCCATTAAATTTCTCATGCATACACTTTCTTGCGATCTTCAGAGTATTTATTGTTTGTAATATTGCACAAAAATAATTCATTTTCAGATGGGAGGTGGTGGCCGCGGAGATGAATTCGATTTCGAAAGAGGCCATGATAGTCTCGGAGGTGGTCTGGGAGGCGGCCACGGAGGCGGCCTGGGCGGCGGTTTCGGAGGCGGCCACGGTCTCGGAGGAGGCCTTGGAGGCGGCCACGGAGGTGGCCTGGGAGGAGGCATCGGCGCATAGAGTAGAAATATACTAGAGTGCGCAACAGGGTGCGCAGAAGGCCCAGCCGGGTATCAACATCTCTCGCGCCCGAGTCACGTGACTTTGAGACAGCTAGGAGGCATCTGCTATACACCCGTCTCGTACAAAATGATTTCGTTTAATAGGTGCATCTGACATGCTTCACTCTAGCGTTATTTTCTCATTTATTACACATCCCTCAGAATGCTGAATATAGCAGAAAATTTACTTTAAGTTATTCTGCTCTATTTAATTAAGTACATAAAAATTCCGATTTTTGTTCAACTTGTCACTCTCAACCGCGTTCCCCAATACACCTGTTTTACAAGTACTATAACATAGGACAATAAATACAAAAAATTTGTAAAATAAATTAACTCTTTGGGAGTCATTTATCGAAGTTTCTATTACTACTCAATGCTAGACATTCTGCTATTGATAATCCACCTCAGACATATAACAGCAAGTTATCAAAATATTTCAAGGATTTGTAGAAGGGACAAAACAAACTTTTATTTTGATATATATTGTGATTTATTTAGTCAAAAACAGTAAATACTGTATTCATCCTTTTAATTCAGCATGGCCTCATGACCAATAATATGATAAATTAAATTACGAAAAAGGGAATTATTTACAAATTCTCTCAAATATCTATTTACAATTGTTGTGTAAGCTGCTCTTTTAAAAATGTCACCTCTCCCTTGAAGTATTCTTACTTCTACGTCTGCTCTTTTGCAGATTTTCACATCTGTAGAAGGGTATTTCAGCCCATTATCATCCTTCCTCTGATTGAAGGAATATGGCCCTTCATCACTATCAGTCCGACAAAGAACTATCTTACAGTCAACACAAGCAAGTGACGTTTCCAACTTTTTACTACAAAACCTCCAATATACGTTACAATGTCCACAACGTGGAGAGACAATTAGGTTTCAAGATTGTCTACTGATTGCAAGTACATATGGTCAATTGGCACCTCAATGCACAGTTCAGGACGCAGTTCAATTCACGTTGCAGCCAAAACAACAACAATACTGAACCATGGTTCTTAACAAAGCTCAAACACGTGTGGATCGTTGGCAGTAAGCAAATCTCCACCACGCCCTCAAATAATTATGCTGTAACACCAGAAATAACAAACAGCACGCAAAGAAACACGCAATACAACGCAAAACAAACTACCGGTCCCAAAGTCACGTGACTTGCGGCCACCGCATGTTGAAACCTGCGCAGTAGGTTCACGCGCACTCTAGTTGTATATCTCCTCTATGCATCGGCGGCGATCACGGCGCAGGAGCCAGCTCTTACTCCTCCGTGTTCATCGACAAACACTGTTTCTCCTCCCTCCCTTCCTACAACATCATTCCTCTCCTTGTCCAAGTCTTCTCTCATCCCAATTTCTCGATTCTTTCTTCATATATCCTGCAGTGCCGGCCAGCCCGTAATTTTCACTATATCGCGCACTGCTCAATAAATGTTTTCTAATATAATTGCATTATCATTCTTTACCCATTACCTACTTATTATACTCGATAATCCCTCCCACATTGTACATATTACTTATATTTGGAAAATAATTCTTACGGATATTTTCAGTGCTGGTCGTATGATATCACTTGATAATTTTTGTGGCATCTTGATAAAAGATTGTCAGAATACAGAAAGAACAGTTTCTTAAAGAATGCAGTTAAAGGTTGAACTGTAATTTTACTGTTTCGATATTGGTATTGTGGTGAGTTTTCGTTGGCATTTACAATTATATATTTATATCAGTCGGTACGACTAAACAAATTGATCTGTTTACTGACTTTCTCAACAACACACATCCTACTATTCAATTCACCTAAGAACTATAGAAAGAAGACAAATTAATCAACTTACTAGATCTGAATATAAGCTTGTTTGGAAACAAACATCTTTCAATGTTTTCAGGAAATCGACATACATAGACACTGTCATCCACAACTCTTCACAACATCCTATTTAACGTGAACATTCTGCCTTTTTCCACTACATGACACACAGATTACTGGATTTTCTGGAAGAAGTGAACACAGTACAACACTTTGCTATGTTAAGTGGTCACAGCACAGAACTCATTAACTACATACTACTCCGCCAAATAGTCAAACACAATCAAACAATGTACACTACACTCTCACACTACAAGTTCACTTGCTTTCCTTATTTGGGACGCCTTTCAGAAAACGTAGCACACAATATTCACAAAGCAGGTATCGAAGTTTCATTAAAAACTTAGAATTCCCTAAAAAATGCTACAAAATGCTTCTTAAACAACACACAAATCTTTTAGAAAAAATCGGCATCTATTCATTAAATTGCCATGACTGCGAAGCCAAATATATTTATTAAACAGGAAGTGGTGATCCTTGAGATATGTCGGCTGTGATTAGGTGGGGTTTCGGATTTTGATTTTCTATTGTAACTAAGAAAGTTCTATTGGTGAGGAAGCTTTTAATTATTTTGGAGATGTGTGTACAGGTGCCTATTGTTAAGAGTTTAAAAATTAAACATTCATGCCATACTCATACTCTGCCACATGCGTTAGCGATGTCCATGAAAACTGCTATTGAATGTCGTTTTTTTTGAAGGAGAAATGGAGAAGTTCTGATGTGCTGTAGATAGTTTATTAGTAAATCCGAATTGATAGAATGATATGAGGTGTATTTTTGAAGGTAGAAGTTAATCTTATTAGGATTAATTTCGGAAATCGGGAGGATGATACAATGTTTCCAGGTAGTAGCCAGTTCTTAAGACTAAATGTACCGACACTATTTCAATTTGTCGCCACCACGTAGCAGTACCAAACTGAGCCACAATTACTTTACTAATTAGTCCAAACAAGTGGTCTGAGTTTCAATCAGTAAACGACATTGGATTTTTATTTAATATAAAATTTACGCTAAGAAGCCTCTTTAAATAAAATTTAAATAATGAGTTTTGGACATTTTTTTGGAATAGTTTTGGGAAGAAATTTAAAAATGTGGGCTTATAGCGCGATGGCGAAGTGCTTCCTGAATACAACGCCGTGTCAATCGTCCAAATCGGCTGAATAGGCGCGTCGTAAAGTGATATTTAAGAAAATCCAATACCCCCCTCCCCCATGCAGCGCCGCCTCCACCACCGTCGCCGCGCGAGCTGGGAGGGAGGGAGGTAAGCAGCGGTTCTCTCGTGGCCCGACTGGGATTTGTCAGTTAATGTTTTCGCTATTTTCCGCATCACAACATTGGTTTTATATTCTCTTATACGTACCTATATACTGAGTAAGATACGTAGTATAGAGAAAGCTATATTAGGATGCGGAAAATCGACATTTTCAACGAAATGCATGTTTAGGGGCATTCTGATAACGTTTTTTTTTTATTTTTTTGTTCTTTGTTTTTCGTCTGGCCGTCTGTCTGCTCGTTTGTGAACAACATTATGGCCAAATCTACAATTATTCTTAGAATTTTATCGAAAGTGAATATTCACTGGTCGATCTGGCCAGTCTCAAAGCTTTACGAGTTCGAAAAATATTGTTTAAAATATGCTTAAAATAATTTGTTTAAATGTTTTTTGTTTAATTTGTTAAAATAAAAATGTTTAAAATTTGGAGTTACTTTAAATGACGCCCCAAGCACATCTGTTATATTTTCACAAAATTTTTAAAGTTATGATTCAGTTCTATCATTAGGGATACGAAAAATTGAAAAAAATGTGAAAAAAATTATCTTTAGGTGAGAAGAGCGTGAAGTGAAACCGGAAATACAGTCCAGATCAAAAAAATAAGGAAACCAACTAGTTCGAGAAAGTCTGTGCCATTCTGTAGCATCACTAGTTTATTTTATTTCATAAATCACACTACTGGTGTTTTAATTGCGGCAGACCTCTATAATTGAAGTATAGAACTGAATTGATCTTAAAAAATTGTGTTTCCAAATAATTCCGATTTTTACTTGGTCATCCTTCGAACACGTTCCTTAAACTGAGGTGACTTAGTGGCTAAAGGATGATCAGTAGTAGCGATAGCGGAGATGGAGTGGGAAGTGTAAAGCGAAAAAGGCAGCGAGTAAGCGAGCCAGTCAGTAATAGTGAACTTGGTAAGAGCATATACAAAGTTGTCTATTTGCGAATCACAGTTCCAGTGCCGCGTAGGATTTGGAATTCACGAACCTCCTCCTCACTAGGTTCGTAAAATTAGGATAACAAATTTTTTTAAAAAGATGGAATTTAACTCAAAATAGGACGCATTTTTGTTTCCCAGTAGTAACCGAAAATAAATTTTGTTGCTCTCCAGGTACCATCTAATACCGGAAATGCGAAATTTCAATTCAGAGAAGGTGGATAATAATAAACTATGTTTATTATTAATACTAAACACCTTGTGGACATTTTTCCCACACCTGCGGAAAATGACGACTGCAATTTGCACTGATATAAGAACAATAAAGACATAACATAAAGATATTAATCAAAGTCTTGATTGAATTCGCAAGACAAATTTTGGCGCAGCAGATTCCAAATGAATCGATCGCATAGCGAGCGCCTATCTCAGTTGGGAGATGAAATAGCGATTGTTGATGCCGATACGGAAGAGCGTCCCCGCTACCAACCTCGGCCACACCACGTCCTACTCGCCAGACACATAGAAGCAGAGGGATGAGGGGCAAAGGCAATGTCGTATGGTTGGTAAAGCCAGTCTGTTATTAATGCAGACTAAAACTTGAAATTGCACACAATTATAAATTCATAAACTAACAAAAGCCTGGTCTCGATGATAAGAGCTTTTCGAATTAGCCATAGGTTTGGTGTTTCGCGGTTTAGAATGGAGGCCTCGAGCAAGGATGTTTGTTCATATTTTTGGCAAGTATGTGGGTGTGTGGGGTGATTATTATGTGCATGTTGGTTGCTGTGTGTTTTCTGTATGTGCAACAGGTGTTGTGGTTTTTGTGTAATTGTCGAATATATGCGTCTGGGTTTATGTACGTGTGGATTGGTGTCCGCTGTGTTTCATGTACGTGGATGTTGTATTGTCTATATTTTATGTAGTGTGAAGGTGTTGAACTGTTTTTTTATGTAGATTTTATAGGTGTCGTCTGGTTTATGTACGTGGTGTTGGTGTCGCTTGTGTTATGTACGTATGTGTCCGGTCCATGTGTTTTATTTACAGGTGTTGTGTATTTTGATTGTCGGATACGTTTTCGCCCTTATTTTTGTTTAAAGTTACTTTGCTCTTCTTCTGCTAAACGTGACTCGGGGAGCTTGTTTACTATGTCCGTTAAATCGACTGAAAAATAAAATTATCAAGAAATGTAATGGAAGGAGTATAAGCATTTGCGCATGGACCTGCTTGGAAACTAATCAATTCAAATAACTGATGTATACCCTAGTTATCATTAATGTTAATATGCGGCATTGAAAGTGACGCGCGAGAATTGAAGCATGGGTGTATTAACGATACAACCAAAGGTGGTGGAATCTGCTCACACGTAAGTCGTGGGTTGCTTTGCTAGTTGGTGATCGGAGAAACTATTGATGAGAGCAGCTGGTTGTTAGAATCTTTCCGAGCAGTGACTGAACTCAACGGCTGACAAGCTAGTGGTGAAATTGCATCGTCGGGACTCGGAACCTAACAACCTCCGGTCAGAGGCACTGAAGTGATATAGTGGAATGGCATTCAGGCCGCATCTCCTTCATAATTATTGGTGAAGTGATTCTTATACCCAAAGGTATATAATTTCCACAGCAGCGTCTGCCCTAGAACAACAGGGCATACTATACAGTTTTTATACTATAATACATGCACAATTCCAACATGAAAAGAGCAGTTTTGAAAGAGAAGCGGATAGAAATGAAAATGTATTCATGTCAAAGATTTAAAAATATCCAAAGAATTACAAAGTTTTCAGTAGTTTGTCATCCGTTTGGCGTAGTTCCCACTGGACTCACTTTCCCGTTTGCAGCTAATGATTGGTTCTGAAGAAGTCACTGCTCATTACTTCATCAATCTTCAATAGACAAACGGGGGACGGGATATACAATACATATTTTTAGCAATTATAATTAAGTCAAAAACTTTTTCTAACGAATTATTTTTTTAAAATTAAATGTTTAGGGATATGTCAATTTTCCTGCCAACAAATACTTTTCTCAATGAATGTTTCACAGCAATCGAACATCTGACCTCAATGAGATCACTGTCTGATATGATAGAAACCACACACATACACACACATACATATACAAATTGCGCATGCACCAGAAAAATATAAAAGACGACTTTTAAATCTTTACTGTCTAGACATCTGAGCCATGTATTACGGTACATTTTATTATCTACTGGAGTAAGATACAGCGACAACATTATCTTCGGACAAAGGAAAGCAGAGAAGAAATCTTTATCAAATTGGTGATAGAAGGTACTAATTTTTCAAATTTCATATACAAACGAAAAATTATTATATTATGTAGTTTATATATATAAAATGGCGACCTCGTGGGCAGGAGGTTACCGGTGTGCAGCTTCAAGCCGCCTCACGTCTCAAAGGTTGTGGTTCAAATCGCACCGGGTGGCATTGAGCTTTGTGTTTGGCTTTCTATGATGTGTGTTGTGCGGAAGCCCTTGTGAGTCTTCTGAATCGCAGACAGGGGGAGCCTAGCAAGTGAGTACTAGTTTTGAAGGTCAATGTGTGTCTCTATGAGGGACATAACGGGTGAAGCTGGAAAAAAAACAACGGAACAGAAAAACTAGGGGTGCGAAAACGACAGAATTTCGGCACCATACTTTTGCGTGCAAAATTATCGAAAGTATTGAGTTCAAAAAAAATTGTTGTGTGATCTTATTTTAATTCTTGTTCAATTAAAAAATTTATATCAAAACGAAAATACATATATCTTGAAAATTTTAGAAGTAGAAAGACCCAAAAGTTTTTGAAATGTTCGAAAACATCAGAAACTTTAAAGAACTGAGACCTTTATTTTCCTTAATCGTGCGCTTTTATCTTCCAACACCAAAGTTAGTAAAATCGATGTGCGCATTTTTTTGTTTGAAAATTGTAGTCAGAAGTTTGGAAGCTTAAGTTTCCCCATAAATTAAAATATAGTTTCAACTTCAAGGGCCTGGCGATATCAAGCAAGAATCGATTGAGGAATATAAATTTTTGGAGAAAATCGGGCTTACGATTTAGCACTAAGCGTTGTTTTCCCAGTCGGGCGGACGGATTGACCTATGGAGGGCAGACAGGATGGAAACAGACAAGTACGGACGAATAGACAGCCAGTTTTGTGTCACTTGATTTTTCGGTATCAGGGAACCATCAAAAAATGGGATTCTGGCTTACCCCGTTATAGAGGATATTTTTATAATAAATTAGGAAATGAATTTTCTCAATTTTCTTCGTCAGGAGCCTCTTAATAAGAAGGTTTTCCTACTTAGCCATTTTGCGCGGGCTTTATATAACTTTCTTTAATACCATAGTGAGGAGGTAAAAAATAACAATTATAGTATTTGTCATATCGTAAATAGGGTATCTAAACAAGACTGTGGACGGACGGATGACGACACGAGCCATATATTTATTTTAGTTAATTAAGAATCGCGCGCCCTTTAAGAGCATCCGGAAATGACACTTCCTGCTGAACCGGGTTGAGCCGCTTAGCGAGCCTAGGGAGAGGGCGGAAAAGGCACTCCGTTTGTTTAAGCAGCAGACCGCGCGGGCGCACCCTGATGACGTGTGGGGAAGTAGCTCCACCCACACCCCTTCACGCGCAGCAACGGAATTACCGCGCCTATTTCCGGGGATTTCGGTGACGTAGGTTGCTGCGGGGAGGTTGCTGAGGCGACTTTGGCCGCTGGCGCCGTGATAGGCGGAAGGGTTACAGGTGGCGCGACATCCAATAGAATAGACAATGCGGGGGAGGAATCACGTGGTACGCGAGCCTTCCTGTGGGACCGCAGAGGTACTGCTCGATCACTTGTATCAGAGGTAGCGAGGAGGAGAATTGTATCAGAGGTAGCGGAGGAGACTTGTATCAGAGGTAGCGAGGAGGAGACGTGCATCAGAGGCAGGAACGAGCCACTTATTTGGTGCTGGCCGCCCCCAAATGCACGCGCCTCGCACATCGCAGCCCGACTCGTGGGACGACAGCCGGCGATGGGACGGGACACTACTACTATCTAACGCCATAGATAGTCGTAGACGGTATCTAATGTTGCGCAAAGCCGTAATCATGTCCTTTCCGTTGCCTTGTCGTATATGGGGCGTCCGGTTGTAATTGTTTGCGGTCTGTGAGAAGTTGATTTTTCGCCTTACATGGTTTCTAGCTCATATGCAGGTTAGTTTGGTGATGGGTATGCCATCTCACTGCTCTCAACTTGCAGGGCAGTTTTTTCGGGTTTGCTTGCCCTAGATGCATTGCTTGCAGGGCTTTTGAGTTGGCCATCTACAGGACGTCCTTCACCATCTTTTTCCACGCTAACGATGTTCATGCATGGTTCTTCTAGCAATTTCTTCTCGAAATCCTCTTCCTAGCGTTGAGGTCTCTTCTGGAGTACTTTTTCGTCTCACCCCTATCACTTGACCTGTCCAGCAAGGGAGGCCCTACCAGTAGCTACGCTACCGCCGGCATAGCTCTCCGGGTCATGGGGGTACTCCAGGTCCTGTACTCCCAAGGCGGAGGTTAAAATTATAAGTTACTGAAAATTGTTTCGGGGGAGGGAGTAGAAATTTTCCTCATTGCGCCCCCCTCATGGATCGGCGCCTGCTTAACGCATTACGTGAATAGCAAATATTCAATGGTTGCGGTCTCATGCTTGGCGCAGTTCTGTCATCAGCTGCACTGTGAGCAGAGTCTCTCTGATATTGAATGGTTGGAATCCAGAACTGCATATGTGACATTTCATACGTTCTGAGAAATATATTTAAGTAAATAATTATTACTGTAAATCGTGGTGCTTTGTTCAATCATTAACTTAATGTCATCTCAGCTTTTCATTCAAAAATGAAGATTGCTCCTGAAATATAAATAAACACGTTTTTTTTAGAAATGATAAAATGTCACTTATACTGCTGAATAATAACCAGTGCGTACTAGCTCTAAGTGAACAGTTACAGTTGTAAAGCATAACAGTGTTTCATCCTCTTCATATTCAAATCAACCTAACAAAAGACAACCTACACAAAAACTCAGTCGATTACCGAAATACTTTCGGATAGGATCAGTAGCATGTAGTGCGATTGCATGCTACTAACACCCGGAAAGCTGTTTACTTCAAGGAATGTCATCCGAAGAATCAACGACAGCATCGGCATGGATCATGATTCATCTGCTCCCGTTAACCTGACGTAGAAAGTATGGCAAATATACACACCAGCTCGGTCAAAAAGACCGAACCCTGACGTCCTCGACCCTGATGCTAATAGAAGGGTTAAGGTAGTTATATACAGTTCCCACCAAGAATCATTTCAGTGATCTTGATATAGAAGGCACAAGAGAAAGCTATGAGGAAACCTTTCCAAAACCCACTGTACCTCCACTTTTCGTGACAAATGTGAATAATGTTGAAGCCATGATCTAATTTTTAAAGGAAGCCTTAAAAACAGAAGATTTCGAAATAAAATCTTTGGCCAACGACAAAATTAAAATAACACCGAAAACTCCGAACACCCACAGGGAAATAACAAAACATTTATAAGCCAACAGTCACGTAAACTATACATACCAGTTGAAACAAGAACGTGCGTATAGAGACACATACATCATACGATAGATGTAAAAGTTATCAAGGCTGCGCTTCTGGGAAAGGACCACAAAGTTAGAAACATTGAAAATGTCCGTCATAGACTAAAGAAATCACCTCTGTCTCTAATTTTCTTAGACCTTGAGCCCAAACCTAGCAACAAAGAAGTATTCAAAATTAACCGACTGTTAAATTGTGTTATTGCTTTCGAACCACCACGCCTGAAACGCGAGATACTACAATGCAAAAACTGTCAGAGATACGAATATACCAAGTCATATTGGGCATACCCGTATAGGTGTGCTAAATGTGGAAAAGAACACGACCCAGATAAGTGTTTAAAAGAGAAGCAAAGTCAACCGACTTGTGCTCTGTGTGAAGGCAATCATCCCGCCAACTACAAAGGTTGCCAAGTATACCAAGAAATACTAAAAAGGAAAGGGTACAACAACTCAAGTAAACACAGAATGTTTCAACAAGAGATTCATGTGCAGACACAAAACAGCAACATTGAAACTACATATTCTCACGAAAACTCAAGAAGTAGATATGTAAATGCAGGAACATGGGCCGATGTTGCACGATCAAAGCCTTTAGAAAGACATCAACACAACGATGACATGCATTCCATTATGAAAATTATACAGCACTCCTTTGAGAGATTTGAAAACATACTAATGCAGCAAAGTCAACAAATAAACTCTCTAATTAACCTCATAACGTCGCTTGTCTCCAAACTATCTAATGCCTAAATTCCTTTGCATTGCAGCTTGGAACGCCAACGGCTCGCCATCGCCAAGAAATCATCGCCAAGAAATTTCTCAACGAAAACAAAATAGACATGCTACTCATCTCTGAATCTCACTTCACAGAAAGAAGCTACTTTAAATTTAAGAACTACACTTTATACGATACTTAACACCCTAGTAGCAATGCTCATGATGCACAGTAATATTAATAAAAAGCACTATTAAACATCAAGTACAGGAAGCTGTACAGGAACAGGATATTCAAGCAACGACTGTACAAATTAATGGACCGGAGTGGACCAATTACCATCAGTGCCATTTACTGCCCTCCAAGATTCAAAATAGACAAACAACGATTTCAAACCTATTTTAAGTCTCTAGGAAATAGGTACATGGTGGGAGGAGACTACAATGCCAAAAACACGCAATAAGGATCCAACCTCATCACCCCAAGAGGGAGAGAACTGCTGAAAGCAGTTACCTCACTTCAGCTAGAAACCATTTCTACAGGAGAACCTACCTACTGGACTACAGACCTAACCAAAACTCCAGATATAATTGATATATTCATAACAAAACGAATCCCATCCACAAACTGTATCATAGAATCTTCCCACGAACTTAGACCACAGTCCAATAATTATCACAGTCGGCAGCAAAATTATTCTACAATCATTTACCGCGTCACTAACGAACAGAAAGACAAACTAGCACTTGTATAGAAAACAGATATCTATGAAAACAAACATCCGAATACCACTAAAATCAGCTGACCACATAGACGAAGCGACTGAGTATATAATACAAAATATTCAAGAAGCAGCTTGGACCGTTACATCGCAACTTCACTAAACCCAAGGCTGCGTGAAATATTCAAAAGTTCTTTGAACAAAATAGCCAAGAAAAGTAGACTAAGAATAATCTGGCATACTTCAAAATATCCTGAAGACCGTACCAACTAAAACCGAGCAACTAGGCAACTAAAATGCCTCCTAAACGAATTCAACAACAACAGGCTTCAAGATTTCATAATCCCAACAGAAGATACCAATTACTCCTTATTTAAAGCCACAGGGAAACTAAAAAACAATCGACCAAAACAAGTCCCCAATCGGGGACGAAAACTAGTGTTGGGCAAGAAACACCACAGAGAAAGCGTATATCTTTGCCAAATTCTTTGCTAATGTATTCCAGACTCATCCCATTATAAATACTAACCAAGAGTAAATAATCAGAGATTATCTTATATCCCCAAAACAAATGACGCTTCCAATCCCGCACTTCACTCCCAGAGAAATTACCAAAATCATTAACGCCTTATCAAACAAAAAAGCTCCTGGCTATGACTTAATCACAACACCTCTTCTCAAAGAACTACCACGAAAAGACAGGACTATAATTCCTGCATTATTCAACAGTATTATAAGAACAGGGAACTCCCCGGAGCAATGGAAAGTAGCCCAAATTCAAGTTTTTCTCAAACCTGTGAAACCTCCACACGAACCCTCCACTCGTATTCTATCCAAAGCATTTCAGAAACTTCTATCAAGAATACGTCTTTACATAGCAATCAATAACCTAGTCCCTGAACATCAATTTGGTTTTAGACAACAGCATTTTACCGTCGACCAAGTTAATAGAATCACCAACTACATTGAGAATTGCTTCCAAGAAATGAAATACTGTTTAGCCGCGTTTCTAGACATTGCTCAAGCGTTTGACAAAGTCTGGCACGATGCACTCTTATATAAACTCAAGAATTTTCTACCATACCCCCTCCTTCAACATTACCAGATCTTTTCTATCCCACCGTACCTTCCAAATCAAATATCAAAATTAATTATCTAAATTCCACCCAATCAAGGCAGGAGTGCCACAAGGTAGTGTACTCGGCCTTATCCTATACCAGCTCTATTCTACTGATATACTAAAATCAGATAAAACAACCATAGCCACTTTTGCAGATGATACGACCATATTAGCTTCGGATGACGACCCTAATGTCGCATCAAAACATTTAGAGAAGACAACAAGAAGATCTCACAATGATTCTATGCCCTACTGTCCACATCAACAACAATCCAATAGTACAGATGGAAAGTGTAAAATACTTGGGAATACATCTAGAAAAACGGCTAACATGGAAGCACCACATCTTAGCTTAAAAAATCACCTACAACTTCAAACAAGAAAACTATACTGGATACTAGGATACCACTCAAAACTATAACTGGAAAAAAAACTGTTGATTTATAAAGCTATCATAATCCCAATATGGACCTATGGCATCCAGATCTGGGGCACAGCAAGCAAGAGTAATCTCTCGATCATGCGGAGATTTCAATCAAAAACCCTTAGAGCGGCAGAACCATGGTTCATCAGAAATGCAGCACTGCACAAGGACGTAAAAATGATCACTGTCTTGGAAATAATATAATTTATCAGCTCAAACTCTCTCCAGCGCCTTGAAAACCATCAAAACCACCTAGCCCTCAACATCCTAGACAATAGTGATGATATCCATCGACTAACCAGAACCTCACCCCTACAACTCCCATATAGATTCTCAACAAATAACTGAAACATTACCCTAAGCTAATAAACTATCCCACTTGCAGCCAACCCAAACTAATACTAGCTTTTTGTTATAGAACGAAGAAGTAGATGAAGAGTACCGATGAGATACCTTTACTGGAAATCATTGTCATAACAATTCTACAATGTTATAAATAAATAAAGTTATACTGCTCTGGTTTTCACCCTCGCAATAACAAAACTGTGTTACAAGTACCTAGTATTTCTCATATCTGTATGTATTATTTCTCATATCTGTCTTTACTTTTTGTAGGAAGTAATATTTTCGTTACTTTGTTAGCTTCCCCTAATATTTTGTCCGCAATATTTTCAGTACCTTCTATTTGCAAATGTTTTGTACAAACAAACACAATGCAATGCCCTTTAAAATAAAATTTTTGAGAAACACCGCGCCAACAAAACGATGCTTCGAATGGTATATAATGATATAAATGGTGCTTGAATTTCTCTAAATGTAAACTATTCTTAAAAAAAACAAAAAAATTGACTACAACAGATGTATAAAGGAATAAAATTGCACTCGTGGTAAATAAGAAAACTCGTTCTTATTGTTAGCTCGTTTTCTAGAACATAATACTCATGCAATTTTGCCTCTCATTTTGCATTCGTTTCGTTAATTACTATCAAACCACGGTGTGCGTGACTGAACACATACTGTCCTTGATTTAATTGCATGCACAGATATTTCTCCACAAAAGTATTATTCAGCATGGGAAAGCATGTTTCCTCTAATAATATCTATCTCATTACAAACATGCGAGAAATTGTAAGCGGGAATTCAGCGGAAAAATATAATTTCTAAACATATAGTTTCGAGTTTAGAATTGTCACTCCCAAATCACTCTTTTATTCAATTGCAAAGTACGCACACTATTTTTTACCTAGACATTTTTTAACATACTTTAAAATCATATCCTTTTTTTAAGCTCAAGCGGTTGTGTTTGGGGTAAGTGCTTAAGAATATTTTACAAAAAGAAACAAGAGGAGATGGTTTTCCGCAACATTTCCCAGTTTGTTAATATAAAATTCAATACACAATATATAGCTAATTGTATTTATTCTTGCAATTTCATGAAAGCATCCTTATCACATACAAAATATTGTTTGCTTCTATTTACACATAATACTATACTATAACTGCTTTGCTTCACTAAGAGCGACTGTGACCAACTTTAGACACAACTAGGACCGACCATAGAAAACATTACGACTGCACAATTACGACCGCATCACTACAACCAACGAGCCTAGGGACCATTACGACTTTTCCTACGCATTATTATGACAGATCTTAGGCATCACTACGACCCACTCTGTGAACGGCTAATACGTAGCTTACGAACAATTATGACGAGAGTATGAACGTGTACGTAATCTATACTACAAGTATTAGTATTCTAATGATAATCACTGAATGTGTGAGATATTATGACACTGTATAAACGATTATGACTAACTATACAAAGGACATCCTTCTCCAGGTATCTCTGTCAGCGGAGGTGACTTTCATCGGAGAAATCACGAAAATATACCTTTGAGAGAACTCGCCAGCAAAAATTATCTTCTAAACAATGGTCAGTTCGACCTCTTAATACAGCTAGTGTCGAAAATCAGCTAACGTGGACACCAGAGAACTGTCGAGTTAAAGACGCGGCAGAGGCAGAGGCAATGTTGACTCTGAGCTAATCTCATCCGTTTCCCCGCAATAAATGCATAATGTTCGGAATGTGCAGCGGATGCTCGGAGGCTTTCCCCTCTGCCTCGGTCGAGTGGCGTGGCGTGGCGTGGCGTGGCGTGGCGTGGCGTGGCGTGGCGTGGCGGGGTGCGTGGTGAGGCGTTGTGCGGGCGACGAGGCGTGGAGGAGCTTGTGTGTGTGTGAGGGGCTTAAAAGGCAGACGCTGCCCCTGGGCAGGCAGAGCGCCCGGCGCCGTCCCACCGACGCCATCGCCGCCTCCGCCCTCGACATGAAGCCCACGCTGCTGGTGAGTACGCTCATTGGGCGCGATTGAAACTCAGTGATATATCATAATGCACTTAAAAATGTGTGCCGTCTTAGATGGTTAAAAATATGTGATATGTGAAAAATGAAGTATGAAGTATACTCTTTCACTACCGTAATGAAATTTGGGAATAAAATTCAGCAGTACACTGAGGCACCACCATATTACAATCTTATTTAATCATTAATTAAATAATTCAATGACGTATTAATTAATTTCATTATATCCAGATCTATCGAAAATGTTTAGGTTCTGAGTTATATAACGATTAACAAATTTATCATACGTTAAAATTCAAAATATATACAAATGAATACTACCCTTTCAATCAAAATTTTTGTACACTGAAAGACAGGACTATCAAATATAGACAATTACTGATATTCCTTTGCCCCTACTACATTTTATCGTCGTGTTCGTAGATCCTGTCTCTGGCCGTGGCTGCCGTGCTGGCGGGCGAGCAGACGGCGCAGAAGGCAGCGGCCTCCGCCGACGCCTCCGCTCCGGAGCCAACCAAGCGAAGTATCTCCTTGCTGGGCTACGGTGGCGGCGGCTACGGTGGTCATGGCGGCGGCCACGGTGACCTGGGAAGAGGCCATGGAGGATTTGGTGGCTCCATCGGAGACGGGCATAGAGGATCCAGTGGCACAATCGAAGGTGACCATGGAATAATCGGTGGCTCCCTCGGAAGTGGCCACGGAGGATTTGGTGGCTCCATAGAAGGGGGCCATGGAGGATTCGGTGGTTTAATAGGAGGCAACCATGGAGGATCCAGTGGCTCTACCGGAGGTGGCCTTGGAGGATTCAGTGGATCCATCGCAGGCGGCCATGGAGGAATCGGTGGCTCCCTCGGAGGCAGACATGGAGGATCCAGTGACTCCATCGGAGGCAACCAAGGAAAAATCGGTGGCTCCCTCGGAGATGGACATGGAGGATCCGGTGGCTCTATCGGATGGGGCCATGGAGGATTCAGTGGCTGCCTCGGAGGCGGTCATGGAGGTTCCAGAGGCTCCATCGGAGGCAGCCATGGAGGATTCGGTGGCTCCATCGGAGGGGGCTATGGAGGATTCAGTGGCACCTTCGTAGGCGGCCATGGAGGATCCAGTGTCTTCATCGGAGGTAGGCATGGGGGATTCGGTGGCTCCATAGCAGGCGGCCATGAAGGATTTGGTGGATACATCGGAGAGGGCAATGAAGGATTCAGTGGCTCCAACGAAAGGAGCCATGGAGGAATCGGTGGCTCCCTTGGAGGTGACCATGGAAAAATCGGTGGCTCCCTCGGAGGCGGCCATGGAGGATTCAGTGGCACCCTCGGAGGAAGTCATGGAGGTTCCAGTGGCTCCATCGAAGGCAGCCATGGAGGATTCAGTGGCTCCATTGATGGAGGGCAGGGAGACGGTTCCCAAGGATCTATTGGAGGTCACGGAGGCAGCGCCGGCTTCTATTCGTCTCTGTCCATCGGCAAACACTGAGAGTTTTCATTTTCCCCTCATTGTCAGCTCATTGTCTGCTTTCTTTCCGTTCTTTCTCTATTAGTTTCAAGTGTAAATTATTTATATCTTCATTGATATGTATGCTTGTATTCAATAAACTATTTCTCACCATATATTTGAGATTTATTTCACACATAATAAACGCAATTCACTATTCGTAACCTTATTTAAAGAAGAAAACGAAAATACTAATAATTCGTTATTGAATTGTTTATTTTCATAATATCTGAATATCTCAAACTTATATTATTATTAGATTTCATTGTGGTACTCCATTTCGATTTGATATTTTTTTGGTAACGTAATTATATAAATGTTAAGTTTTATAAAAGATAATACTTTTAAACAAATTAGAATGAAAATGTGTTTTAAGCAATTATTCGAAATACTAACTATAAGCAGTATATTAATTTTAAAATAAAACTTCTTTCTTTCTTTAGAATTACCAATCAAATATTTGATTTTAAAATATTATTTTCTGTGTCTTGCTTTTTTAATGTAGGTATTGAACAATAAAGCGGCAATAAAGTTGCAGGATGAAGAACGTTGTTAATTTTTGGAAATTCGTTTTTAGATGAAGGTGACATTAAAATTTCATTTCATTGATTTTTTGCTCGTCATTATGATTTGGTACTTCAGTACAAAATAATCTATCGAGAATAAAATATATTTCGGTATTTAAATTGCAATTTCAATTAAATTTTGTAATGTGACAATATTATAATGACAATGTATAAACTGGAAACAATAATGTGTAAATATACGAAAATCATATATTAGTAAAGAAATACCAGGGTTTCCTTTTATATTTCAGGATCAGAGAACAAAAACAAATATTAATCATCAAAATTCACTTTATTTGTTTTCAAAATATTCCCCATGACTATCCATACACTTTTGCATGCGTTTGAACGAATTGTCGAAGCAGTTTTGCCACTGTGATGGAGGTATCTTCAAAACATGCATTGTGAATGCAGCAACCGCTTCTTCAGGTATCGAAAAACGCTGACCACTCAATTTGGTTTTACGTACGGCAATAAAAACCAAGGTGCCAATTAGGTGCCAAACCAATTAGGTGCCAAGTCAGGACTCATCAAATCGATGTTTTGGGTGCTCAAAAATGCAGTTGTTTGAGCCGATGCGTGAGAGCTCGCATTGTCGTGGTGAAGAGTGATCCGTCTTCGGCGGTTGGTTTTTCTGATTTTTTTGCAAGACAGCTTGCAAACAAATCGTTGTTTATTACTCAGAATTGACTCTTTTGCGTTGTTCTAGTTGTACGGTTGCGACATGTTGAGTTTTTCCGAAAAAACAGGCGACCATCTGTTTGGAAGTGCGTCGTGCGCGAACAACTTTTGTTAGATTTTTGCTAACCTTGAAACACCCATACAGTCGACTGCTGTTTACTTTCGGGCTTATACGCGTAAATACACAATTTATCACCTGCCACGATGTCATAAACGTGTTTCGAAGCACCGCGATCGTATTTTTTGAGCATTTCTTGCGACCAATTGACACGAGCCTTTTTTGTGCGATTCACAAATTGTGTGGGATCCAACGCGAACAAATTTTTTTGACAGTCAAATGTTCATGCAATATTGAATGCATGCTGGTGTAACTAATGCCTAGGTTTGTCTCAATCTCATGATAGGTCACATGACGATCTTACAATATCAGTTCACGCACAGCATCAATGGATTTCGGAACAACTGATTTTGGACGATCTTCGCGAAATTCGTCTTGGAGTTAACTATGACCACGATTGAATTCACCATACCATCGATAAACACTGGTCCTTGATGGAGCTTCATCACCAAAAATTTAATTAAGTTCATCCATGTACTGTTGCTGAGTTAATCCACATCGAAAACTGTAAAAAAAACGCACGAAAATGTTCACGAGTTAATTCCATTTTTGGGCCAAGATGAATCTCTTAAGTTACTGTAAACAACACAAATACCGCTCGTATGTCAAAACGTTCTGAGTACGTATAACCTCAAAACATCCAACTTTACGATAGAGCTGTCAGTTGCCAGATTGCAACACTAGAGTAGCCAAATCCCGAAACATAATAGGCAACTTTCGTAACATTTTTGAATGGATATTTAAAAACTTATTTATTGGACCAAGTTTTAAACATCATGAAAGTTGGAGCAGACCAACTAGGGAAAAATGGGAAGTTAATTTTCAAAATTTAATATGATTAAAAATTATTTTTGTACAATATCTCGAAAATAAGAAGAGGGTTGAAGAATTCGTGTGAGAGATTCCGAAACAAGATTGGGGAAGGTAATTTTCGAGTTCAATGTGATTGGCCTGTAGATGAAGCCGTAGGCTTCCGCGGCCAGAGTCATGTGCATGATCTTGGCTTCCGAATGACGCCGCGTCGAAGGCTGTGTTGCAAGGCCCTCTACGGGAAGGAATTACCGTACGCTCTACGGGAAGATTTTACAAATCTACCAAAACTTTCTGCAAGTTACGAGACAAACGAATTCGCAAGCTCTGTCAGGTTGCGTTCCTGCTTCGATGCAGAGACGAGGACGTCCTTCCGGCGTTCCTCAACGTAAAACATCACATACAGATGGCAACACAGCCTTCAACGCGGCGTCACCCGGACAGCCAAGATCATGCACTGGCCAATAGATGTACAAAATCAATCAAGTTCAATCAGCTATTTTCCAGGTTTGACAATAGTTTGTTGATCGGATACGATATGTTTAATTGAACTAATACATTCATATGCTATGAAATTAGTTTTATGATTATTTTTCAACACAATAACGTCCTATATGCTAAATGCAGTCTGAAATAGAACTTTTTACCCTTAAAATATGTGTGTGTTCAATGGACATAAAAATTTCATTTAATTTCGATAAACAATATCATCTCTCAGAAACTAATAGAACCTGACAAACATGAACCTATGTGTTATGTGTAAAATGACAAGTTGGTGTGGTTTGGATTTCAGGTGTATCTAAAAACGCTCAATAAGATTCGAAAGTGTTCTCTAATTCTGTAAAGAGAACGCAATATGTGATAATAAAGAACTGTCAGGTTTATTCAAAATTGGTCAGAAACTACCATATCCAAAGAGCCTACATCACTGGGTCTGTAGTCTGTAACCAAAGTCAATGCACAGTTTTACCTTGAATGAATGGAAAGTAATTTGTTCAGACAACTCTGGGCGAAACTGTCAGGCATATATCAAGTAGGAACAACCGGTTAAGAAGATAGTAAGATGGGGGCGTATTTTGGAGTCCAACTCACATTTTTCGATATTACTTGTCATATTGCGTTGGGCTCGAGTGATACTTTCCTGGCGCATCAACTGATATGTGGTTCTTCCAGTAATTGTGGTGCATCCTACACTTCAAGGGGTGATGATCATCTCTCATTAAAACGCAGCGGCGTCAACCTACTTGAAATCGCGGGACTTTCCATTCCAGGTATCTCCCTCCAGTGAGCCACCACCCCTGCCTTGATAATCACTAAGATGATCTTACGATGTGTGAATTTGTGGTGTGTGTAATAGTCTCTAACGAATTATCATAGGATAAGAATGAGGATGATAAGTTCGTGAGTGGAGCACGATTCGGGCCAATATTATTTCGGCATTTACCCCTGTTTCATCGAAGAAATCACTTAGACTATAGATAAGAGCTGATAGTCTCTAGATTTTCCCCAATGATATGACTGAATTTAACGTAGGTACCCTAAAACCTGGTCAACATTTCTTGGCCGTTGCTTAGGCTTGGCGTAGGCACAACTGGTCCAATGACGTCTTCATTGGCATAAAACAGAATCTTGCTCTTGAAGACGGGAACTTCTCTTCGCGTTTTTATTCAAAGAAACTAAAGAAATGGCTGAGGGCGGTCCAGTTCCTTCACAGGAGACAACAAATTTCTGAGAAAGGTAAGATAACCGATAATAAAGGCGAATGCAAAATATACATTTTTGGTTATCCAGGAGAAGGAGCGTCTCCTGAATGGGCAAGAATTTATGGATTCCAGCCGCGGAAGCCTATATCCGAACGCAAAATATATTAGAAGTGGGCGAAGGCATGAGTGTTCGAAAAAAGGAACAAGTTTCTCATCTAACTTCTCACTAATACTTTAGATGAGGCTAGAGCAAGTATATCGGTGACACGAATAATAACAACTTAATGACATAATAATCATTCAAATTCTCCAAGAAGGATCAGGTAAGAAAATAATATTCAAGGAGTCCATTTTATCAGTCTCAATTTCACTACATTGATTACATTTTGTCAACAACTTAAAACAAATTTTCGCTTAAAAATTTGATTTATAGCGTTTTTAATTGTTAGTTTTTTAGTAAGAAAATATGTCTTATAATATAACATGATTCGTCATTTTTGCAAAACAACCTCAGTATGCTTCCTAGTTACACATTAAGACCTAGAAGATATTAAGCAACTAAACATCTCATTATCACCAAGGTTTTATTTTATTTTCTAGCAAATGTGATTCCTTCAAGAATCTATCTGTCGATATTTTAACTCTCCTCTGCAAGTGTTTCCAACATAGAAAAGTATTTGAAAAAGTATTTGAAATTAAGATCAACCGTCTCCACGATAATCGTTCTCACCTGTTTGGTACCCTACCCTGCCCTACCAACGTAATAAAAAACACACTTCGACTAAAGAAGAAGAACGAGGTGAAGGGCGCCGGGCGGTGACGTTGGAGTAAATAAAATTTTTGATAGAATACAATCATTTATTTGCTAATTTTTAATTGCTATCATCCATAAACGTCACATAAGAATGGGTGGAGTCAATGTTGATTGGGACTCGTGTCAAACAATACCGTTCTGATGCTAACAGCACATGCAACATCTTCCGCTGTCAGCTTGTAATTGTTTTTTAAAGAAATGTCAACATCAGTTTCGACGAGCAACTTTACAATCTCTAGATGATTTGCATGGGCTGAGAGATGGAGCAGTGTCTCTTTGTTAATATCGGTACAATTGAAGCTTCGAAGAATGACGGAGTTCACCAACATCTTCGTCTTTCTGATTCCAGACATGACATTGTTGGTGTATTCTATGAGCAGCAATCGAGAGTGTAGTGAGTGCTGATGTTAAAGTCTCTTGCTTTTCTTTCCACAGCGTCAGTTTTCTCTTCATGTTCTTATCACCGTGGATCACGCTTCCGCTTCGTCTTCAGAAGGAGGCTGTCCGGGGGATGTGTCGCTTGGACAAGTCGATATAATTTGACAGATAAAGCGATGCTTCAGACATCTCTTCTGTTTTGAACCTTGGAAGTTTTCAACTGTCCTTCGATTTACAAATGTGTAGTGAACTATATAAAACAGATATGAGGGGTCACACTGTCTTATTACTACTAGAAAGAAAAGATACACTCCACGTTCTCGCTTTAATGCATTGGCTTTTATCATATCAAGCAGTATTGATTCAAAATAGTAAAACAAAACCATTACAAAATACAATCGGCACGATTCTAATTCCTGTTTAACATTTTTATTCCTTTAGCTTGACAGATGTATGTGACGTTTACAAGTTAAATCCTGGTTTCTGCTTCACCGTGTGTTTGAGACACAAATTGTGATTTGTCAAACACAGTCATCGGCGCATCCTCTTGGAAGCAACAAAATAAGTAGGAAAAAGGCAAACTTAAAACACAGCGAAAAGACTGTACTTAGCGTCAATGTAGCAAAAAAACCTTCAAAACATCAACGAAGCCATCATAAATACTACTCTACGCAGGCGTGTTCTCTCAGAACACTCAACGACGACAGTCTTCAGCATCTGTTTGGCGCGCTTCTCTGTTATTCTCCATCAGCGAGAGATGTAGTTGCCGTCTTCAGTCGACACCCCGAGGACGTTCAATAGCTCCCCTGCATTGTCGAACATCTGCCCTGCCTGAAACATTACAAGCGGCGCATGCACATTGATTGACTGCCACCATCAAAACGGCACTGTGGAATCGCTTGTTAGCGTTGGATGAATGAAAATGTGTAATATATCATCATGGATTTGGAAAGTGTTTAATAATTGTGGGAAGTATTATTCAATTCTTAACGGTGACCGCCGCTCTAGTGAGCTTCCTTTTGTGAACTTTGCACTGTTGTGACAACTTGAACTGTTGATCTCCGTCAGAATTCGAATGTAACAACCGATTTTATTCCAACTTTCACTGAAGACTAGATATGACATTAGAAGTGGTACTATTTTCCCAATCTGGCATCATGATCACTTTCACGTTTGCGTTAAAAGAAACTATAACAATATGTTTTAAAGATTGACTAGAAAGTTAGTTGAAATAACAAGGTGAGACGAGGCTAGATCAAAAACGTCCAATGTGCCGGGTCATCTTCGTGCCTAAATTAGTGCCATCATCACATGATGCAACGACATTAAATATTGACGAGAAAGGCGTAATGCAAAGGGATGAAGATATCGAGAATAATTTTACGAGTGTGATATCTTCCATTTAATAGTTTTTAGTCGATGACGTCTTTTAGTTCACACTATGGTACGAAGACTAAAGAAAGCTCTAAGATTACGCAATATAACGTATACGCAACTCGTCAATTCGCAGAGACGATTCGGTCTTGAAATTCACGGTGCGTCAACCCGGCACCGGCCTCTCACAAAGACGACGCGGTCACAAAACGCTACGTCGACGCCTTGTTTCAAAGTCATTTGGATTTCCTTTATCGCAACACCCTTTGTCGCAACGTTTACAATGTCGAGAACTATTTTTAAGGAACAACACAACGATAGTTTTGTTTGTGTAAATGTTTTAAATAAAAGGAAAATAGTAAATATTATTTTTTTCCATCAACGTTCTTCTCCTTATTCCCCAGCGTCATGTACCCCCACTCCTCCTTCTCATTCTCTTGGCGCCCAGTGTTTTTGATGAAGTTGGTAGGACAGGGTAGTGGTCCTGCCGGGCCAGCCGGGTGAGCATCTGACGTGTCGTGCAAGGTCAGGGCAGCGACGGGGTGCTCGGCGCAGCTGTTTAGTTAAGACGTCACAAGATCACTCACGATGGCTCTCTCGCCATGGACGTCACACCCCTTGGCGCCCGACGGCCACCGAATGCAGTATTCCGGTGCAACACACTCCACCGGATGCTCACATCGGATCTTCCAAAGACGGTAAGCCTACCGGATGTTTACACGGAATGTGTTGAAACAGAATCGGACGTTTTGTACCAGAAGTGGTTCAGAATATCCCATTACTCCCTACTCCCGTCCAATAAATATAATTATTTAAAATAAGTTTCCGGAAATGGTCATTTTTATAAACGTTACCTCTAAGCATACGACTACGTAACTGAAAAGTCGTATGTCGGCACCCTGGAATAATGAACTTCGTTAAGTCAAATATAGTTACGTAGTTTTATACTAGCCACCATAATAGAAACATTTCCATTGATGAAGTGTTACATTATGTATATTATACGTATGCAAAGGAGAGCAATACGAGCAAACATTTTTTCCCGCGACTTTTTAAATTGAAAATTAGATTACAGTATTTGAGGAATATTGTAAAGATCTAAAAGTAAACTTTGTTTTAATATTTCAATAACAAACTAGTGGTGCTACAGAATAGCACACACTTTTCTATGTCCATCGATGTTGACTAGCTATTCGGAATTTCCACATACTCTTGCCTGCTACCATTTATCGTCACCCAAAGTACATTTTTAAAGTTTCAATTTTTTATTATGGTTTGTAATTAAATAAATATATGGGAGAGTAAAAATTACACAATATCAAATAAAATCTTGTAACATATTATGGTGATATATTATTAAATTATAATAAATAATTATAGATTTATTTTAAATTATAACAGAAATCTGCAATAATGACGTCTAAATTGAAAATACTCAAAATAGTTGTATAAATGGAAAATAGTAAAATTAATAAAGTCTAAATGGAAAATATTTAAAATAATAAAACCTAAAAAACAAATTGTTTCAATATATATTTGATTCGCAGTATTTTCTATTTATCATTCTCCGTTTCCACTATCTACAACTATTGACATCGCTTTCATGGTTTTTTTCTTCTCATCATCTGCATCCATGACATCAAATATAATTTCTTGATTTATTGACACATCTTTTGACTTAAATTAATCACTTCGAAAGACGTTAATAAATTCGGCCATATACTTGACATGCATGTACCAGTAATTTTTAAGAGAACATCATTTGCAGCAAACCAGAAAAAACTAGTAATTTATCACTTTATTATCCAGAATAAGAATAAAAAGAATAAAAACGTCAAGATCTAAAAATATATTAATGGAAAACTTACTAATGGACTATCACATCTGATAGAACCGTTTGCCGGCAATATAGGTTTTTAGCCGATTTTAGGAGGGGAAGCTGGAAAAAATTAAACAACACTAATCTCTAAGAAATTTTACACTAAGAAATGTATCAACGTTAATAATATATAGGCAGTAAATCACTTCCTTTAACACGTTGTCTTATCACAATCCATGCTTTTTAAGCCCTTCATTGACGGCGAAACATTCGTCGTCCATGTCTCCGTCGGTCCGTCCATCCATATATCTGATCAACATTAGCGTCATAACCGTTCTGACATTCTTCTCTAAAACTGATATTCCTCTATCGAATGAGAGTAACTCCAGTCCCTCTGAGTTTCAAATGGATATTTTACATTTGATGGAACTTTACGTGAGGCGTTACATCAGACTATGTTATCACTTGTTTGCATAAAATTTGTCAATAGAGAGCTCCAAATGAATGCTTTGTACTTCTGAGAAGGAAATAATGTTTCATCAATGGAAATTATAACCCGGGAGAGAATGTTCACATATTTTAAATTTACGATGCATATTGAATTGAATTGAATTGAATTTGCCTTATTTTACGTGGCGAGACTCGGGCTATCAGGCCCGCTCTTCCGTCTGACCACGCAAATTTCGCTACGCTCCTTTCACCAACTAGGAGAGAAAAGAGGTATTTCTTGGGCGAGAAACAGGCGATTTGCATTTAGCTCAGAGGCGTCATTTAGGCTTGAGGATCTTTTACATGCATACATACATACACATACTTATCTCCTGCAAGCAGTATTTCTTCCCATGAGAATGTCCATTTACATTCTAAGGTAAGCGGGAAAACGTTGCCCATGACACTATTCTCGAATAAAATATCAAATTTTAAAGCATAATTTGTGATTCATTACCGGTTTAGAGTTTTGTGGAAGAGGAGTGTGTGTGTGAATCCATTGTCTACTTTGGAAAAGTTGGGACTACATTTTCAGTTATATACAGTAAATTGGTTTATACAAAATGTTGAAGTGTGTTTTTGTCAAAGAAGTTGCTGATTAACTAATTTAGGACTTCCCGAAAACATTACACACGCAGAATGTTAAAAAAGGGGGACTACCAGAGGATGTACAACTTCATGTGCAATATGTGTTTAGTGAAAGATGTGTGTGTTTAGTGAATGATGAGGAAATGAAGGCAGGTTTTAAATAACCAAGTGAAATTGCCTGTTGTGACGTAGTGAAATAAGAAATAAATTTCAATAACAAAATAAAAAATAATATATTCAAAGATTATGTACAAGTTACAATGAATTGCTAATATTAAAACACTCCGGCAACCTTTTCCTTTCGGAACACTGCTTTACCGCAGAAAATACAAGCCACGCGTGATGCGCGCCGTCGGACCTCTGTCCCGTGACAATTACCGTCACATGGCCTGACGCCAAAAGTTAACCCGGTCGTGGCGACCGTGTGCCTACAGCACGTGAGATTGTCTGGCCCTTACTCTCCGGACATCTCGCCCTCACTCCTACACCCTCCTTGTACATACACGTACAAGCTACCCGATGCAAACTGAATGAGAACGCGGGCGCAGATGGCGCCGCGTTAAATAGTTGAGGCTGACACCCCCACCACTGTTCCATAGATAGGCCCGCCGGCTGGCGCGAGGCTCGCAGGCCAGCCTTTGGTTTACGCCCACACACAGAATTCTCAGGTTGGCTCGCCTGCTTCCGGTTGAGGCACGCTAGCTAGCCTCCTCGGAGTTTACAGTCAACGGTATTTTTGTGGCTCTGCGGCTCTACATGAGTCAACCGCCAGAGCGCAAACTCCGGATGTTCAGGCTTAACTCCTTCCTCCCCCGCAGCGTACTTTCACCAACCTAACGGTTCTGGCCCTCGTGTTAACGACGCCACACTGTGATTTAAATTTAACATCACAGTTGAAAACCTCGGTAGACCCTATTTAATGTCACCTAATTGTTTCTTTCTTTGGTGTTGTGGTTATGAATTTAAGAAATTCTGGCAAAGTTACTTTGTTCTGTATTGTGTTAAACACCATCATTCATATTAAAATGTAGCATGTACAAGTAAAATAGTTGACGACTATGATTGATTTTCACAACCATGCAATGCAATGTTTTGACGCATTTGTAGTTCATTAAATATTAATAATAGCTTTAGTTCACAATTGTTTAAAATAGGAAATCACTCCGATTTTATTTTCTAATTGAAAGAGAATAGTGGAACTTCCAGCAATTCGATGTTCTTTCAGTGATATTAAATTCCCTTGTTTCTTCTCTGATTTCGTTAATAAATTAATGAAGTGTTTTGAGCATTCAAAAGGGTTTCTTGTGCTTAAATTTATATTTGTCGAATGAAAAATTGATTTCTCTCAGAATTCAATTACATGTTAATAAAATCTGAATTAAAATCGTGGCATTTCCAAGCTTTTTTATTGTTGGTTACCCACGAGTCTTCAAGATTAGGCAAAATGAAGCTTGACTAAATTCGCGGTATAAGAGATGCGGGCAAATGAGTGAACCGAATGAATTGTTTTGGGGTCTAGCATTTTCAAAAATATTCTTATGATTCTGAAGATAGCAAGCATTCTTGGTAATTGGTCTCTTAAAACAATCAATAATTCATATAATCTCTTTGTATCAAATTTAATAAATTCATTTACTAATTTTAATCCTATTTGCTTATTTTTATTTTTAAATATAAACTAATCGCATTCTCTTCCAATCCAGGGAAGTGGTTTCTGTGTACAATATGTAAGGAGAATCAATAACTCAACTCCTCTTTATAATAAATTATTCATTCTGGTTTTAAATTTTTCATGATTTATTTTTTCTCTTTTCCTACTTGCATCAAATCTGTAATTTCAGATCTGTCGCTGTCAAAACTCAATCAGTAATTTCAAATGTTTGATAATGCGAACATTTATCAATGATGTTGATAAAGTATATATGTTAAAATAATACGCTGTGACATTTCCAATTGTGACAATCTTTAAAAGTAGGTTTTTTGTATCAATTATGATTTGTTTTGATTTCATTTATGTTTTATATTTTTGCAAATAATATATTGTTACAAAACATTATACATACGTAAATTTTCATTCATTCTCTTTATTATTGTAATATTTCATGTTCTGATTATAATTGTTTCTAAAACTTGTGCCATCTAGCATGGCGAAAAACTAATTTCAATTTCAATTAGTCAAATGATTTCTCTATTATTGTGAAATTATTAATAATTTAAATATTTCAGGTGTTTAACGTGACACCTAAAATCACGTCAATTGATTTTCAATTTCAGTACCAGAATCATTTTTAAGAAATATTTGAAAGACATTCTATAATTGTGCTAATATCTTCAGCAAAAGTGTTGAACAAATGCATGTTAAAAAATATAATTCTTCAAACCTTGCATTGCTGGACAAAATTCGTCAATACGCAAACATGGTGACAACGTACAGACTAAGTTGTATTTATATTTTTCTCAAGTTCACAAATGTATTCGGTATATAATTGTTATTTGTAAAACTACGAACTTTCATGTAGTTGCATATTTTTGTAGTTGATATCTCTCAGAAGCTTAGAATATGTCCTAGAAAAATATATTGGTCTGAGATAGAAAACTTTTTACATACAAAGCATATTTGGCGCATTCTGGAAATTTGGGGTATTTTCTTGTATTTATTGCACATTTTTCAATTTTGTGGCACAACTAACATTTACTTTTGAGTAAAAATTATCAGTTAATGCATAGTATAAAGTTTCATGGTTCAGGCTGGCTGATGGCTACAATGAATTTTTTTGATTTAAATATTTTTTTAGAACATATATTTTTTTAGAAATATATTTCGACCACAAAACATATTTGGATAGACTAATTTGAACTTTATTGAACACTGAGATACTTGCAAGTAAAATTTAGAAGTTCATTAAAGTACCAATAATGCCCATAATTTCAATGATTTTTTATTTGATTTCTTGATCTTATTCCATATTCTAAAGGAGTAAGCACTGCACAAAATGTTTTTAATTCACGAGAATACGAGATCCTTCTAAAATATTCATGTGCACAAACGTCTTATTTTTACTATTTGAGCAAATTAACGCATTGCCAGATGCAAATCTGGCATCTAACTTTTCAGGAGCGCATAGAACTGAGATAACCTAACTAAATTTGGCTTCGTTATAATGGATCGTTTCTTGAGGCTTAGGGCAATTTTGGGCTGTTACTTATTCAACACGAAAATGTATTTGAAAGATTTGAAAACATTATGTTGTGGGTATTGTGATGTCATTAATAACTTCGGCCTCGTCAAGAGTGTGTAATCATATGTGTAATAACTACCTATTAAATAAAAAAAATCAATGATTTAGCTTTCTATTAAAGACGTTTAACTGATTATCGGTTGCGATAATTATCATAATTGTTGATGTCATCACGTATGAAAATTGGAAACTCCTTCATACCACTTGCTAAATGATTTACATAAATAATTGCGACAATGACCAAAACTTCTTTAACTAGATTTCCTGATCATATTTTTCACACAAGAGTTATTTTTAAAACAATTCTCTAATATTATGTGCTTTTAAAATGCTTAGAATATAACTAATAAATACAGAGACTTAATTTATTGTTCGCCGAAAACTTTGCGCCGCGTAGACCCGGCAATTTCACCCAGCACCGATTCACCCAGCAAAACACTGATCCAATTCCCGTGCCCACTAACTTACCTTAAAGAAGATGGTAAATTGGTGTCCTTCTAGAATGTTCTACTGGTTATAGAATACATTAATGAGATAATCTAGAATGCAATTTGCACCGCCAGAACAAATTTTGTGTTGCCATTTGAAGTTAATCTCCAGGAATTGCAGATATTTTTTCTTCAAGAGTGGCAGAGCTCATCCTCCGAATGCGGGGTTTCATACACCTCATCTTTCAAGTCGCCCAAACAAAAAAGTCACAAGGTGTCAGATCAGATCTCGTAGGCCATAACCCACGACAAATCGTTCAATTGTCACTATAATCATTATTTTAAAATTTATGAACACAGTTTATAGCAGTTGCATATGTGCAGCAGCTGTTTCAGTGAGCATTTGCCAAATAGGGTTAAAAGTTATAATAAACGTCTCAAATATTTTCTTGGAGATTGTTGTAACGTGGCATATTTTTTTCTCTTTATCTTCTGTCAGGATATGGCGCTTTCGACACTTTTGTTTGTTTTTCAATTAAAATTCCGTGGGCGCGAAATTTCTTCACAAGCTTCAAAATTGTCAACCGATGTGGAATTTTCAAGTCAAGAATTTTTTTAATAAGCCCCTTGCAGCACTTAGTGGCTGGCGCAAGTCGAACGAAAGCGTCGTAAAGAAATGTTCTCTGCCTGAAAGAAAGCTTCATGAGGCACAGTTGAACGCTCTCTGGACACAGATCTATCGGCCGGTCGCGCCGAACGACAAACGCGCCGGATGAACGATGCACTTGGTGACAGGTTCCCGGGGAACAGATGGTTCGATCGCTGAGACAAGCTGCCCTTCATCTTCGGCGATAGATAAAATAAGTACCCGGTACTAGTGGCTTGCAGAAGTAAAAGAGTTGTGCACTGACGTACTGGGACTGTGACGGACTGAGACGTACTGAAAATTAAGTTGGTACGAAAAGTACGATAACTGCGCAATTACTCGATAAAATATTCGCATTTTTCAAACAAAATCGAAATAGCTCCATTGTTTTCCGAATTTTACTATTTTGTGGATATATAACAATGCCTTAGACATCTGTTACATGGCAGTTGGCTGCATAGTTTTATTTCAATTTCTACGCGCCTTAGAAATTTTTATCAAATATTTTCTTGTATTTTTTCAGATTCCTTAGTTACTTATCAAAACTATATTGACCTCTCTCATGGTGGTTGACGACGTATTGTATTTTCAATTACTGCTCACATCGGAAATTTGTAATACAAATTAATAATGAAATTAATTAGTGACCTTTTTGAGCCTCGAATAAAATATTTAACAACATAAATCCCTTTCTTGATTAGTTTATTGTATACTTGATATATTTCATTTGCATAACAAAACATGCGCGGTGAAATCACCGTTAATTACTTGAGAAGGGTAATAGAGATGTCTGAGTTATTGACTGAGATTTTTAATTTGAAATTCTTAGAATAATAACACACTTGGTTGTTCAGTACGCTTCACCGGTTTAACCACTTTCTCCCGCTTGGAAGAAAATGTAGTACCTGTGCGTATGACTACTTGTAACCAGGGTACATTAACATTAAGATGGGAAAATTAATTTGTAATGTTCTCAGAAAAATATTGTAAGGAACATTTCATTGATTGTGTCGGGAATGACAAATTTACTAAGACGTTTTTTCCATGTCAGCAGAGAAATCCAATTCGTAAGAAACGAAAAAACAAAAAAATAATAAAGAAAACATGGGAATTAAGTACGCCAAGAGATGCTATCTAAGGATGCCTCTCTATAGAATCCGTGATAATTAAATGTTCTAAGAGAACTTTTGATAATGAAAGAGAATTTTTGTTCATAAAAATTTTAACAGTTTTCTACATCTATACAATTTTTAAAGTCTCAATGTTCATTACCCACATTCTGTTTATTAATTAACAGTAAGCATATGTATTTGCCGCAAATATATTTTGCAGAACTTGTCCACATCTTTTGCGCAGATAAATTATGTCTTATAGTAAACACGGGTAGAGGTCTAAAGAGTACACTTTTACACAACGTCGTACAGTCGTCTTTTGCACGAAAAAACAACAGATGCAGTGTACCATATCAATGATACTGTAACAAGATAACTTGTTACAGTATTGTTACAGTATCATGGATCTGGTATACTGAAACAGTTCTTTTTTTCCGTGTGGTGAAGTGCTCTACAAAATTACACAGAAAGCTGACACACAGAAATAATTCATTTTTTGTAATGTATCCACTCTTTCCTATTTTGTTAATATACAATTTTAATACAAGAGCTATGATTGACTGCGTTTACTCCTGCATATTTAAATTCATAAAAGTTTCCGAATACATACCACAATTATTTTTTCTATTATGTACACAAGACTACATTGTAACGTTGCCTTATTGTCTGTGAACGACTGTGTCTAACTACAACTTTGACTGACTTGCTATGAACGACTATAATTGACATTAAGAACGAATCTGACTATGAACGAGTACTACGAACGATTACGACTGAATGAACGAACGATGATGACTGAGTGTATGAACGAATATGACTCAGTGTTCGAACGATTATGACTGTACAAAAAATTATAGAAACGATTATGACAGGCTTTAAAGATTTATCTACAAACGGGCGTAATTTTGATCTGAGACACCATGGAAACATACCAATCAGAACAGTCGGCCGCTAGAATTCTCCTTCCAGTAGTGACAGAATTGGACTAGCTAGCATGAAGGTGGTGTCAAACATCCGACAATGTCGGCACTTGAACTCTATGACCTTCACGTTGCTGCGAAGTGTAGCTCTGAGCTAATCTCATCCGTTTCCCCGCAATAAATGCATAATGTTCGGAATGTGCAGAGGATGCTCGGAGGCTTTCCCCTCATCGCCCTGAAACGAAGGGCTTCCCTTTGCACGTGCGGCGCCGTGCTGGCGTGCCGTGGGCAGTGGCGTGGCGTGGGTGGCGTGGTGAGGCGTTGTGCGGGACGAGGGCGCGAGGAGCCTGTGTGTGTGTGTGTGTGTGAGGTGCTTAAAAGGCAGACGCTGCCCTGGGCAGGCAGAGCGCCCGGCGTCGTCCACGCGGCCATCGCCGCCTCCGCCTCGATATGAAGCCCAGCTGCTGGTGAGTACGCTCATTGGGCACGATTGAAACTCAGTGATATATCACAATGCACTTAAAAATGTGTGCCGTCTTAGATGGTTAAAAAGATTGAATCATTTTCGTGAACGAAAAGAGAGAGAGAGAGAGAGAGAGAGAGAGAGTGAAAGAAAGTGAGAGAGAGTGAGAGAGAGTGAGAGAGAGGGAGAGAGAGGGAGAGAGAGCGAGAGATAGGGAGAGAGAGAGAGGGAGAGAGATAGATCTTAGGGAAAATAATGTTTTTTAAAGATGATGAAAATTCACATACTAAAAGTACAATTCTTCGGCTACATAACCCAAATTTTGGGAAAATATTCAAATTTAAATTTTTTATACAAGATGATCTCATGTACTTGCAAATCTCTTGTAAAATTTGGTTTAACCAGCTGATGAGCTGCAGTTAAATGAAATACATATTCCTAAACGTTTTGCTCCTCCAGAAGTTGGTGGTGTGATCTGATGGGCGCATTCTACCATACAAAAATAACATATTACACTGGAAAACGGATAAAAAATTAATTATTTTTGTTGCCACAATTAGAATGTCGGAAATATATTACCAACTAATTTAATTTTTCTTTTCAAAATTTTCTAATATACTGTGAATACTATGTAATAGAATAGTGCATTACAAAAATATATTTACATTGAAAGTTGAATTGCTAAGATATATTCGATTTTTACATGTTTTGAGATATTATAGGTATTAATAGGGATTTGTTAACATATTATTACGTAAACATTTCCTTTTTCGAGTAAAAACTAACAAAGAAAAAATGAACCCGTTTTAATTGAAACTATGGTTTTGAAAAAGTCACAACATCCAAAAATAATTTCCCATCAATAACTTTCATGCAAAGTAAATATTCACCCATTACAAAATTCATGAAATAATTCATCCTGTAATGCATATTTTATTAATTGAATCCATTAAATTCATACCTAACGAAAATTTTTAGGAAAGTTGGAATGAAAAAAATATACACGATAACGATATAACAATAAAAATATGTACTTGTTTCGTCAATGATCTCCAGATCATAAAGTTAATTCTCCGAAAATTGCAGTCAAGTTATTTTCACGCTCAAGAACCGCAGATCGGTCTATTACAGACACAAAGTTACTCATAATCCTTTGAGCTAACTACATTTTAATGACGTGTTCGTAGATCCTGTCTCTGGCCGTGGCCGCCGTGCTGGCGGGCGAGCAGGACGGCCGCAGAAGACGGCGCGGCCTGCCGCCAACCACCTCCGCTCCGCAGCCCCTCAAGGAGGTATCTCTCGCTGGCTACGGCGGCGGCGGCCACGGGAAGTGGCCATGGAGACTCGGAGTGGCCCTTGGAGGCGGCCTTGGCGGCGGCCACGGTGGCGTGGGAGGAGGATTGGGAGGAGGCCATGGAGGCTCGGTGGAGGTTACGAGGTGGATACGGGGGCGGTTACGGAGGTGGCCATGGAGGACTGGGAGGTGGCCTTGGAGCGACCTTGGCCGGTGGCTGGCGGCGCGCCGGCGGCGGTGGTGCGCAGGTAGTGGTGAACACGGTGACGCGTCCCGTGGAAGTGCCCGTCCCTGTGCCATAACACGTCGTGCGTCAAGTGCCTGTGCCACAAGTGGGTATTATTGTGGTAAGCCACGATGCTGATGATCAGGTACTCTACCAGATATTTTAGTCAGAACAATATTGATCAGATCTTCATTAACGTAGAAATTCCATTTCCATGCGCTCAGCCTGTCCCCGTGACTGTGGAGCAGCTCACCCGCGTACCCGTCGAAGTGCCTCAACCGTACACCGTCACTGTAAACCGACCGGTGCCTGTGGAGGTGCCCCGTGCCGTGCCCGTGCCCCAACAAGTGGGCGTGCCCGTCAGCGTGCCCCAGCCCTACCCCGTGGTGGTGCCTCGGCCTGTACCAGTTCCTGTCGCTAGGCCAGTTCCTGTACCCGTCCCATCGCCAATCGTTGTGCCGCAACCAGTGCTGGTAAACGTACGTTTCTCTATTCAGTGATCCGTTCCAGCAAGGAAAATGTATTGAATTCTGTTTTTTTTCTTTCTGTGTAATTTAAAGTATCCCAAATCAGACATTTGGTGAATTTAAAAGGTTATTTTGTAGGTGGGTGGTGGTGCTGGAGGCGCTG